TTGACCGTAAGGGACTGCTCCAAGCTTTTCCGGTTTTTCTGTTATATTCAGTACCTTTTTGTTTTTGTCGGTATTTGTGTTCTTTACTCATATTCTTTTTTTGGAAGAAGCGATCGTAATTTTTGAAGGTAACAGTGGTGTTGTTGCACCTTCCCACAACGCTTGTGAGTATGCATTTCCGGAGAAAAAGCCCTAGGATATGGAATTCTGTTCGCTTTAAAAAACACGATGATTTGTATACTATGTTTGTTTTAACTGAAATGAATTTAGTACTGCTGCTGCTGCTGCATCACTTGGTGGCGCCGCTTCGCCGGCGTTCTCGGACATATCGGATGATGCGCCCACTCTTGAAAAAGAAGTTTGTTTTGAATGTTCGTTTCGATGTAATTAGTTATAAAAGGTCTTGTTTGATGTTACTGTAAGCTGGCAGTTTTAGGTCGCAGATAGATCGGAGGAGCGTTCGTTGGATCGAATCAAAGAGCTAGTAAATAACACTGATAAGGCACCATTGGGCCAACTCAGGTTCATTTTTACATTGGACGAAGCAAAGGGATCGATTATATCACCTTTCATATCCGCTACCGCTTTGTTTGTTTCAGTTTGTCAGCAGAAAATGAAAAAACAAGCAGCAACATGACAAAAAGTGCACATGGCCCCACAAATCTGTTATGTCCTGTGAGCGCATCAGCTACGACCACAGTAAACACATTGGGTGTGCCGCGATTGTCAACTGACATTAGCCAGAACTCTGCATCCAATGGTTTCGTTTTACTAGTTTTTATGCACTTTTGCATATATGCAAATTGCAAGAACGCATATTGGGAAGGGGCTGTCTGTATGTGCCTGTGTTTTCGCACTTTTTGTCACCCACTTTCGACTCGAGAACCAGAAAAGCTAGAAGGCTGAAACTTCGGGAGTATGTGTCCACACCATGTGCACCCTCCCGTTTTAAATAGCATCATCCGCGTGCGTCTGGGTCCCAAGTATGAATGCCTCAAAAAAACACACAAATTTTTTGGCGGGGAAACGATCTTGGGAACCAGAGAAGACAGCGAGCTGGAACTTTACAGGGAAATTCTCTACACATCCTTGAGCTAAAGGTTTCAATTTCAGCTCAAGGAGTCCTTGGTTCACAAGTGTGGATATGTGGGGGTTTTGGCGGGAAAATTACTAACTCGATAACCAGAAAAGCTGAAAGGTTGAAATTTCAAGGAGATGTCCCCTGTCCATGCAAAATTTAAAGGTTGCAAATTCAGCTCTCAGGTCTGCGTGATACATACGAGCACTTGGAAGTTTTGGCGGGTAATTTGCTAACTCGGGAACCAGAAAAGCTGAAATTTCAGGAGAATGTCCCCTGTTCAAATACAACTTAAAGGTTTCAAATTCAGCCTCAGGTATGCATGTTTCTTGTGTACAGGCACTTAAATTTTTTTGCGGGAAAATTGCTCATTGAACAGCTAGGCCACTTTCAAAAAACGGCCGCTAAATGGAAATTGTTTATTTTTGTATATGCAAAATTTAAGTTTGTTTACGGTAGTGAGCGCACAGGGTAGATGTGCAACAACCATTCATTCAGTTAATCTAATTGTTTCAAGTCTGGTGCAAAAACGCATGGTCGCGCTGGCAAGCTTGGTACGTTCCAGCCTGGGTTTTACTGTTTTTTGAAATTCATTTTCTTAAATCTCTTTTTTACGCGTTTTGCGCTAGCTGCACAAAACGCATATCGATACACTTCTGTGTATATGTATGTGCACACATATGCGTGCAGCTTTCAACTCAGGGGTCACTTAAGTTAGGAAGCTGCAATTTTGAGAGAAGAGTCATGCCCCTGTGCGGCCATACAACTTTAAATTCAGCCCTCGTGCACGCCTAGGTTTCAAGTGCAGTCAGATGAAAGTTCCGTCAAAAAATTCGTTAACTCGCGAACCAAGCAAGACAGAAAGCTGAAATTTCAGAACGATATTTTCTGACCGTTTGGGACACCGAGGAATTTAAGTTCAGCTTCTGTGCACGCCTGGGTCGCACGTTCGAACGCATGGAGTTTTTCCTAGTCGGTAGATCCCGATAATTTTTCCAAAAAACAAATGGTGAAGTAGCACATTTTTAACAGCAAGCATTCGCTGGACAGAACTGCACAAAACACAGAATCGCACCATCTGCATTTGTGCGCACCGCTGTTTGTTCACAGTTAATGGTTCACGGCAGACAGAAAGAAATACCTGGTAGTTGAATGTAAATCGCAGCAGAGCACGACAAAAAAGAGAGAGAAGACACGAACTATTTAGCAGGGTGGAGTCACCGTCTAAATTTCAAATTAATATTCAATTTTGATGAATTTCAGGCACAAAGAAGATAGATGTGAAGTCACAGGCGCAGTCAAACACAGTTGGTGCATTTGGCTCACCCTTCATCGATCCATCTTCGTTTGCTGGTTTGTTTTTAAATAGCCGCTCTTTTTATGAGTCTTTCTGGTATCTGCATTATTGTTCCGCATTTCCAGGTTTACGCCCTCCGGCATCCGTTCCGATGAGCGTCCCGAGTTTATCCACTGCTCCCACACTGCCAGTTTTTGTGCAACCATACCTTATGCCATTCATCGCGCCATCAGTGAGTAATGCCCCAACAGCGGGAATTTCGCAGTCCCCATCAACTCCGAAGCATAAAATACATGATTTGAAGGCCAGCTCATCCGGCATAATTTCCTCGCACGCAAAGGAGAGGTCAGTAATGATAAATTCAATGCAACGACTTGCATATTCAAGTAAATATACTCACTCTCTTGTCTGTTAATAATTTTTATTTTGCAGCAGCACAGTTCAGCCATCTTCAGTCGTTGCTTCACCAAGCTCTCGACCTTTATCACGAGGAGCACCAGGTTTGAGTTATGAATATTTTAGTTTTCTTGGTCTTTTCGTGCTGACTGAACAGATGAAAAATTGTACGAATTCTTAGATAAAACTAATTAATAGGCTTTATCGGTTTTGAATATTTTTTGATTCGTTTAGTTTACGGTAGAAATGAACCTGGTCACTTAATGTTCTGTGACTTTAATAATTTCTTGAAGGTAATATGCTGGCAACGAAGCAAGTGGTGCATCCGCAGTCAGTGAATCAGAGTGTTTCCTCGGGAAACTCATTTACCGCACTACAGTCACTAGCATCTGGCGGCAGCGACCGTACGCCGAACGCGCAGTCATCAGCGCTCAATTTTATGCAACAACAACAGCAACAGCAGCAGGTCGGAGTGCTTCTGGGTTGGACTCCGTAAGCAGAAGGGACAGCAGCTTCAGGCACCGCTCGCTGGGCATTTCGCAGCATCATGTTGTCTTCCTCATTTCATTGTGCTCCGTGATTTTCAGGCTTACTTTGCTCAACTGCAGCAGCAGCAACAGCAAATGCAATACATGCAACGATTTGGCTTTCCGATGGCTGGCCCACCGAATGCGGCCGCTGCGCAGCAGGCTTTTGAACAAATGGCCGCACTGCATGCTTCGTATAGTTAGTTTAAAAATTATGCCCTTTACGCTAGCAGTGTGTATTGCATCGTAGTGTCGCTTTCCATAAGCTAACTTTTACTGTCTCTCATTTCATCGTAACGCATCTTTGCATACTAATGTAGCCGGCACCCGAAATGGTGCTGCTTTTGATGGGTGCTGCATCGCCCTTGCTACTTGTGTGATTTTTCAGCTCCTCCATAAAGGACCCCTTCGTAAGTTCTTTCAGTCATGCTTGGAAATGTGACAGGAATTATCTGCGTAAAGATCTGAAGGAAGACAGAAAGTAATAGCTCAAATATTAGCACACTGCCAGCACCAACTGCTTGCTAAGAAGTATGTCGGTGGTGTTTTTGGCCGAGGGCTTCTCAGGAGCAGGATGATGGCAGCACCGATTCTCTGGCATGTCTCAGCATCACTTCATTTCTAAAATGAATTAACAAAACGTAAAAGGCTGTCTTTCTAAATGGCAATTCATGGAGTTAATAAGGCACTGTGCGTACTATTAGCCGTATTTTTTGATTGACAATTTCTTGAAGTGAATAGTTTTACAGCGAATTAGGATGCTTGTCCTCTAGGCATTTGTTTGAAGGGTCACTTCCTGGTTTTGCTACTTCTCGCCCGTATAGTTAAGTGCTTTAATGGTACAAGGCGACAAGGAAATTTAGTGGAAAAAGCGCCTTAGCTTTGGGAGTATCAGCGGTTCTTATATTATTTTTTATTCTGCGCTTGATTTGATACTTTCAGGCTTTCCGGGATTGTTCTTGCCGCCAGCGTTCCCACCGAAATGAATGCAAGGAACTTGGAAAAGCAAACAAAGATTTTTGCATTTGTTAGAGTAGAATCATTATTTTTGCTCAGAATACAAGATATTGCTGTATTTAAGAGGAAAAGGGAAATGTTTCAGTCTAGAGATGCCCTTTTCGTACTCTGTTCCATCAAAAATAGTGGTGAGTGAGTGTGCTGTATGCAATATCTTGTGTCTTGAAAACCAGTTGAATGGAATCTCTGTGTACAGAATTTTTTGAACTTGTGTATTGTTCGTTTAATTCGTCGTTGTTTGACAACTTTTCGGCCTTTTTTTTACGTTGTGACTCAGGTTTTTGTCACATGCTTTCAAAGCTCCCCGAGGAAAGGTTGTGCCGGTTCGCCAATCGTTGTATTCTGTCTCCGGATACTGAACTGATTTTTTCAGAGAAGGAGGGCAAGAAGAGGGACGAGAAGAGAGAAGGGTGGGGGGCCGTTTTGCTGAGGCCTCATCGTGTTTTGATTTACCGGGCTTATACTGTTACAGTTTTCAGTTCTAGAAGTCGTGGATTT